AACAGATCTGACTGTAAATTTTAGGAGGGAAATAGCATGTAGTTTATGGATTCAATGGTGGAGTTATAAACACATATTACTGCTGAGAGCCCCAGCTGCCTGGGCAGAAGTATTCTGTTAACTTTTCATTCTTATTAACTTTAAAAATCAGGTGCGATGAGCTTCAACCAAGGTTAGAGTGTTCACTCTCGCCAGAAAGCCATCAAGCAGTCTTTGCTCAGCAAGCTTCAAGATGTATCTCAAAATCTATCTGCACTGATGGCCAAGAGCAAGGCTGAGCTGACCCTAAAATCAGTTCACACCCTCTGCCTATCCCAGCCCCCAGCAGCTGACCTCTCTGGAAAGGGAACCAAGAGAGCCAAGGAAAGGAGCACATGGAAAGGAGCCTTTTCCCTCCAGATCCATGGCTCAGTTCACCAGCACACTCGCCTCCACACAAGTGCCTTGTGCCTACAGTGACAGCTGCACCTGAACAGAAAACAAAGGACCTAATCCCAAACTTGCTCTCCATTGTGTGGGCAGAAACCAGCTCAGAACCAGCCCATGGAACTCCTGTTCTGACCCAACCAATTTTCTGATCCTGCTCAGCCTCACAGGGGAACAGCTGGATTCTCCTCATTCACTTTTTGTATAACACGTCTTAATTTGTGAGACCTACAGATCTGAGAAAATTATTTTATTGCTAAAACCAGTGACAAAAAAAAAAACCCAAAAAAACTTGTAGGCTCACTAGAACTGCAGAAAGTCTAAGAGCTCTAAATTTTGCTCAGCACTGAGAGAGGGAAATCCTGGCCCTACTGAGTGCCAGAAGAGTCAGACATCATCTCGAGCATGGTCAACTGAAGATTTTTATCCTTCTTTGAAGCTCCTGGGCCAACAAAGCAGCACAGTGTGTGCCTGCCCTCCCAGAGAGGTTGGGTTTGTAGGGGCAGTGAGTGACCCTGAATGTTCCACAGTCTTAGCAATGTCCAAATGTCTCCTCTTAAGAGTCAGACCTGTCTAATGAGAAAGACAAAAGGTTTCCAGGACAGTAGGTTTGTTTTCCTTAAAAAAATCCACCAACTAAACAAACAAAAACCCCCTTGTTTTTCAAGTCAACTCATTTGAGACCTATGTCCTGTGTCCTGCCTGCTTCTTCCCTCCTCTCTGGCTGCCAAAGCCTTTTCTGCAGACACACAATACATTGGGCCTATAAAGAGGCCATTCTCCCTGTACAGCTGCATTTGAGTAACTCTCAGAGGCTCTGAAGCACAGCCAACATGCAGAAATATAAAACCCAAGAGGACTGAGTCTTGTTTCACCTGAGAAGGGTTTATCTTACAGCACTGCTCTCAGAGGGATCTGACCATTGCCACTGAGCCTTAAGAAAGAGGCATTTTTGACAAGATGTTTCTGGACTCAAACCTAACCAGAGGCTCTTGATTTTCTGCTAGGGTTTTAAAATGGTTTTTATTGAAAAAAAACCCCAAAACAAAACACCTAATGCCCTGTATGTCTGTAATAGCCCCCCAGCAGAACTGAAAGTTTTCTTTTTTCTCAATTAGTTCTAAAAGAGAAGGATCAAAACACGAAACAAATGATAAATCACTTATGTGCTGCTGGTAGGAACTCGGATATGATGATTATAAGCACTGAATAAAACGTCTGAACAGAAGAGAATAAAAGATAAGACAGAAGGGATGGGCTCCACATGGCCAGAGTCATCTGAGCAGAGACTGCACAGCCCTGGCAGCAGGGTGAACACAGGAGCTGCACCAGCCTCCTGTAACCCACAACAATTTCATGCCAAACACACAGCCCACAATGTGAAATTCCCACAGTAAGGAACACACATATAGTATTTCCAAAGCAATTTACTGAGGCACCCTGGAAATTCCAGGGCAGCAAACAAGGGGACTGTATCTTACAACATTAATTCCAAAACCTGAACTAATATGGAAGGCTCTGTGTTTGGCTGGTATTTGGGAAGCACACCACATCTACACTCTGTTGCCTTTCTTCAGGGCCACCTGGCTTTGAGATGGGATCAAAAGCATTAACCCCACATAAAAGAACCTAAACCTGATCAAACTGTCACAGTAATATTCAACCATGGTGCTCTTCTGATGATTGGTGTAGCAGAAAGTGAATAAAATTTGTAACATCCTTTCTTTCCCTGAACTCTGAGAAGAATTCAAGACTGTTTTACCTGTAAGGCTTGGACTAAAGAGACAGAAAAGAGCTACACTAACTCAACTTAGCTGGAGAGTACAAGGCCCTGAAATCTGATACACCATAGCAGTTTCCTTCTCTCTTTTGGTTGATAGCAATCATCTGTACCTCAAATAAAATATGGAAAAATAGAGAATTGGGAAGGGGAAGGACATTAAGCACACCTTATATAGCAGTGGATGCTATGTGAATAAAAAAAAATTAAAAAAAGAAAAAAAGAACTTTTTTATATTGGAAACACCGTAATTTCTTTATTGTTGCTTTTTGAGGCATTGTGAACTAAGGAAGGAGTCTATTGCCTGTTCCTAAATTGTGTGTTCACCTGAGTCACTATCAGTAATGCCTGCATTTGAAGCAGTATCTGTTTCTTATTAATTACTGCAATCCTCCCTTTGCCAGCACCCACAGCCAGTGTAACCCTATAGTTCAGTAATCTGCACAATGCCCTCTCTTCTTTTACCATAGTTCAGTGCATGGCATGCAAGTTTGCTCTCACAGGGGACAGCTGGTGCACATTCACAGACAGGAGAAAACTGTGCATGTAAACTCTGTGACTAAAGCATAAGGAATATCCAGAGCAGCTTGGAGTAAAGCAGATAGAGAAAGTGGGACATAGAAACACACCATTTGCTACCTATGACAAGCCTTTATTAGGCTTCTTTAAGCTTAACATGCTGCTGCTGGCTGCAGTCAGCATATACCTGAAGGAAAAGGAACCTCTCTTCTTCTTCTATCTGCCTCTCTAACTGTCCTTTCACAGTAGAAAGATTTTCCTCATTTTTATGGTGATTAGCTTGTTCAGGCAATCAGGACTGAGTCTCTTCCATCAGCTTATGTCACTTCACAGTAATGATTTTAAAAATGACACAGCCACAGCTCTTGTTCTACTCTTCTCAGTGAGATGGCCCACACACATCATACACAACTGCTCCCACAGCTACTTTCTCAAGTAATCCTATTAATCCAGTGCAGAACAGTCCCTCAGGCATCATCTCAATAACTCTTTTCTGTTCAGGCTTTGTGCCATTTTTCTCTTGTCCTTTGCATTTCTGATTCTTTGTAATTGCTGTCTGTTCATGCTCCCTTCGTGCACCCCTGAGAAGGTGAAGAGCCCTACACCCTCAACCATACTCCAGTGATGTTACTGGCCACATCCATCCTCTTGATGGGACCATAATGATTTTTCTCCTTTGTTATACTGTCAGGACAATTTTTAAGAGCTTCCCTTAGATAAACAAAATGTATTGTGCTTTCACTGCCTGGCTTTGATATGACAAACCCTGAGCTCTCTCCCTGTGCTGAGCCAAAGTGACTAGTATGCCAGACTAATTTTTGCAGTTTTCCACTCCTGACTTCACATCAGAAGAATATAACGCAACAGGTTTGTGGAACAAACTGACACAAGTTTTGTTTCTCTTCAGATCTGCACTGACCTCCTTAGATTAAACATGATGCCTCATCTTGAGTGACTCACTCCTGTAGTTAGCTAAATTCAAACTGTCTTCTTTAAAGCCTGTAATGTAAACAATACATTTTACTGTCACAGCTACGTGGACATTAGTAAAAACAACTTTACATTCTGCAAGATGTTGCTGGTTTATGTGGTTTTGGCATGAACACCACACTTTTCCCCTTTAAGCATTGCCACCTCTTGCTCCCACCCACGGCTGCTGCACTAACCACGAGCAGGTTGGGCCAGAGAGTTTACAGAAAGCCATTCCTGGACACTGCCACAAAAGCAGATTCCTAACAAGGCAGCCCCAGCTCCCCTGAGCAGTGGGATGATACCCAGACCCCACAGCAGGCTGAGCTCATGGAGCACCCACAGAACCCTCCACGCACACAGCTCACTTCTAACAAAGCTCTTGATGATTTTCATGCTCCTCCTGCCTGAGGATTCACCTTTAAATTGAACTCCCTGAAGCCTCTTCATGCAAATATTCACACTGTGGGCTTGTCCCCCCCAAACAGCTCCAGCTACAGACACACAGCAAGAGGACAAGCTGCTGTCCCCATCCAACTCAAGGTCCCACTCTGGGTCTCTGTGCTGAGCCTGCTCAGGAGTCCAGCACTCCTACCAAGAAGAAAGTTTCTCTCTCCAGCTCCTCTTTTATAAATACATTTTGCTACAATATTTTTAATGATCTGCAATAATTCCCTGTGCTTCCACCCCAGGACCTCCAAGGACTTGAAAAACCCTTCCTTTCATCTTTTGCACTGAGTTCAAGGAAATACAGAGGGATGGAAAAATTACATCTTCAAATCCAATCCTCCACTCACAAATCTAGATCCTGTCTCTGACCATGGTAACAACTGCACTCTTAAAACATCATCATTGACACCTTCTTTAAATGACCTTAAAATAAAGTACACGCAGCCAACTAAAATATCTTTTCAGTGATGTTTACAAAACCCAGGCTGAAACAGTTTTCTCATTCGCAATTTCCTTTTACCATGAAGAGCAAAATGCTAAAAAAATTAAAAAAAAAATCATACAACACAAGGTGGTTCCCCCTCTTTTTAAGCAGTTAAAAATGTTAGAGCTGAAGATAAAATTTCTGGCATGCTGGGAGTAAAATCTAGCCTGCATGCCATAGATCAGTGGTTAAGATATTCCCTGTTATTTTTCAGATATTCAGGCATATGATCTTCACATGCACAGGTAAGTTGGCACGTAATTATTGATTCTTAAACATACCCACAATCACAATAATGGAGTTAGATAAGTTACCATGGAAAGCATTTGCAAAATGTATAACTTCTATTTCCATCACTGAAAGAGAACTTACCTTTAAGGACTCCCAGAGGGGAAACTGTACCAGAGAGAAAGGAATCTGGAGAGGTAGGAAAAGAAAAAAAAAAAAAAAAGAACAACAACATAATGTTACAAAAGTAAATTGGGTTAGCATGTTCCTCAACTGGCTAAATTAGGAACAGTTATTGTTCTCCCAGTGAACTGCAGCTTATTACACTTACAAATCTTTACGGACACTTTATGTATGCTGCCATTAAATGACTGGTTTCACTAAGGCAGTTTTACTTTGTTTATCACATTCCCTGCTGAGAGGTTAATGTATTGTTACCAGGGTGGCCTAGAAGTGCAATAAGCAGTGTGATCTAGTGCAGGGACATTCTTGGTTTGTCAGCCAGCCAGGAAAGCCATAAAGATGGCTCAAGAAACACGTTCCCAAGGCCAGGAACACAGCTTGGCAAAAAACATCCTCAGCAGTGCAGACTCTCACAGATGCTGAGCTCTTGTGCTGCAACCAGGGCTCTGCACTTGGGCATCAGCTGCAAAAACGTTCCTGAACATGTCCCATGATCTCCCATGAACCAGGTCCCTTGAGAATTAAAAGCAGGTTGTGAGGAGCTACCACAGCCCAGCTAAAAGGGAGAAGCTTGGTGTTTCTCACTGCCTGTGACACGGGGTTCTCCTGCCCAGCAGCAGCCTGGATCTCTGTCTAGGCTCATTCCTGCTGCCTCCTGTCCCAGGAGTGCCTGTGCATCTCCACGTCCTTCACAGATCCTGCCCTGATAAAAACCTCAGCTCATCAGTCAGTTTTCACTGTGAACACACTGAAACACTGTGCAACAAGAGACATCACTTTCCAAGGTCATGCCTTCTATTGTATTTCTTCCTTTGCAAAGCCCTCCACTAAATTCTTCCTTGTCCTTCACCGCTCAGAGAAGTCCTGTCTAATACCTACCTCTGGTACCAACTCTGCCTTTGCTATCTCCAGGCTGAGTATTTTCCCAAGATATTTCAGAGAATAGGGTCTCCAGGAAAGCACTGGCCTGTCCTAGGACTGCCCTACAGCTGCATCTGCAGGTCTGCTCTGCCCCTTCCTAAAGCTGCATTATCCCCTCCACTTTGTTAGCCAGTCAACCCCAGGCTCAAATCTTCCTCCAACTACCTGTTTTCTTCTTTAAGATAACTACCTTATCTTTCTTCATTTTCCCCTTTGTTTAGGCTGATTTGGCAGTTCATATATCAAATTATTTAGTCTCAGAAAGCACTTACACATCTTTTACTATGAAAAGGAGTAGATACTCAAAATGGATCATGCTTTAATGCAGATATCTTTGCTCTGAGTGATGTCAGATTAAAAACGTTCACTAGAGATATGAATGGCTTATTAAACCCAAATTCAGGCTACACAAAGGAATCTGAAATGGAACATCCATTCAACATCACAGGAGACAAGAGTATTGTCTGCTTCTCTGTGCTGCAAGTAATGATTAATAAATGAGTCTATTAAGTTAATCTGCCAGGCAAAACTAAACTTGACAGACACCTGTCACAGAAAATTTGTTATCTATTCAGGCAGGAAATGGCAGTGAGAAGAAATCAATGTCACTGCTGTACATTGAGCTGACAAACTGAAATCTCAGAGGAAGTTTGTCATCTTGGACAATGAGCAATATCCCTGGTGGCATCTCAGAGCCCTGCAATAAAGGTCAGACGTGGCTCTTATTTATCAGGGTCTTGAAACTTTAGTGTAGCAATTAAATTTCATTTTTAATACTGGGTGAAAAAGCCCAGCTCTTTGACAGTAATGTGTGGTAATATATTTATGAGAAGATATATACACACCCACATGCTACTGCAGCATTGCTGAACTGAAATTATATGGAATGATTTCTTTGCAATGTTAAATGAAAAGCAACACAATCTTTGATCTAGACCAAAAAAATAGGGAAAAATAAGTAACAATAACCAATACATTTGCTTCAAATTTGTTAAAAAAGAGAAAAGGAAACGCTCTGTATCCAGCTGTACACCAAACAAAACAAGCTTTCAAACACAGCCTCCAAGTTTTGCTTTTTTTATGCTTGTGAATGAGTGGTAAAATTAAGCAGCTGTTAATAAGACAACAAGGGAAGCTTGTGACATAATCCCCTTTATATCGCTTAGCTAGAAGCATTTCAATCAAAGGGGAAACTTGTTCACAAGTGCTGTTTGATTTTCAGGGTTAGTGGTGTTTGCTTTCTGTGTCCTGCTCAGGGCTGGATGGGGATAATGGGTTTCCCTTTTCCCCATGTGCCCCATGGGATGCAGATTTCAGATGTGTGTCAGGGTGATCTGCACAGACACTGGGCTCCCTCCTCCCTAAAAGGGCTGCAGAATAAGGCTCTAAACATTCATAAGTCACACTTTACTAGAGTTTAAAGATTCCAAACAAAATAGGAAGCACCACCACCACCAAGCAGAGCAGCAGCATCTTTGCTGCACGAAGAAATCCTAAGGAGATGTCCTACATTTACTGCTTGCAGTCACCCATTGGATCCTGACATCCTGACTTAAAAACAAAGCCCACACAAGCAATTTCATGGGTATTGGAATGAAAGGGAGTCTGTCTTCATGTGGATTTGGGTTTTGTCATCAGATTCTCTGAAGCCAAATCATTTCCAAGCCGCCTTCGGCAATCTTCCCATGACAGGGACCTCCACCACATTTCTTTTCCAGGTCTATTCCACAGCCCTTGTTGAAAGTTCAGCTCCTATTGAAAGCCTTCCCTCCAACCCTTTAATCACCTTTATTTTCCCCTCAAGAAAGTTATCAGAACTCCTGTTTATCCTCACAGCCTCTGCCCTTCCGCACATTTCCGTGGTCAAGATGTGGAAGGGCTGTGCAGGCTGCTGTGTGTCCCTGTGTGCAAACACCCTGCTTGCATAAGCCTTGTCTCCCTAAGAGACCAGACTAAACAGCCCACACCCAAAAGTAGCATTAATATATGCAAAAAGAAATAGCTCTGTGAGGGTAGCTCATCCGACCATGAAAAAGCCTTTAGATGGCTTATTGCCCTTTATTCTTCCACCTCGGCAGACGTGACAAAATCTTGCAGTCTGGGTACACTTCTTAATTTGAACACTTAGAGCATTTCATTCCTTTTTGTATTTTGCTTCTTAAAAGAAAAGCTCTTCAGCAATGAACAGAATCACACCCTGTTAGGCAGAGATATTTCTGCCTGAAATAGGCTAAGGCAACAATAAAAATGTGGTCCACACATGTGGGTAACTTGCTGCCAGCAAATATGAAACCCTGGCAAGCTCCACCAACCTCTCATTCGACATTAATATAAAATAGACAGAGAGTACCAGTTCTCATGTCTGGCCTAATGTTATATAACTATGCTGTTTGTTCATCAGAGTCAGCCCTTAAACACACACAAAAGGCAAATTTAAAGCCCCCAGACAGCTGCAAATAATTATTTTAAAATGTTTTATAGGTTGGAGAAATTATCATTTACTCTGGTCCCTGTAGTCCTTAGCACCTGATGCCTAACTTAAGGTAATGAACTTTGCAGATGCTTATTCCTACACATCTACTTAATTCCCCTGATACAAAGTATTTTAAATGATTATGTTTAACAAGTTACTTTTAGAAATAGCTGCACTTCCCCACCAGAGCAGCAGACACATCTCACTTCTAAAGAAAAATACCAACCTGTAAGTACTGAAGATTGATGACAGAGCAAAAGTCCTCCCACCAAATACTGTTTAATTAAATAGAAGAAATTTAAGGAGGAACTTAATAATGCTCTTTGTAACTACAACAACAACAACACTTTAAAGTATTGTGTATACAACACACTGAAAATTTACCCATTCAATATCTGATGGTAAATTGCGAGCTGACATTGTCCTGAGGAAAACAGCAGCCAGAGCAAGGGCAGCAAGCTGAAGGAGTGGCAAAGAATGGGGGAAAGAACCAAAAGAAAAAAACAAAACCTCATCAGCCCCTTCAGAACTGGGATTCCCTTCCAAATATGAGAATTCTTTCACACAAAGAGGAAACAGATGTCCATGGCTGGAATTTGCATGTGGCTTTATTCTCTTCTAGGATACAATAAAACTACTCTTCTTCTCATCCTCCGAGCTAGAAATTAAACAGTGGCATGTCATGCAGAGTCCAGCTGTGCTTCCTACCTCCAACCTTTATTAGCAATATATTTAAAAAGAAGAAGAAAAGAGAGAGACAGAAAGAAAGGGAGAAACTAGAAAAGCACAAGAATTGAAAAACTGTGGTATGTGTTCTCAAAACAATATAAAACCTACAGATGTTCTTACTAATCTGTGGCACATGTTTGTTTATTCAGGTTTTCCCTGTCCCCAGTTCAGCAGGCTTTGCTCTCCAGAAGACTTATCTATTTTCATAAACGTTAGAATAAATACTGGAGGAGAGATTGGCATAAACAGCCCGAGGAGGAACAGGCTCACCTTGTAAGAGCTTTCCAAGTGTCCCTGAAAATGCATCTCCACCCCAGAAACTGCTCTCACCCACACCCCCACTGTTCCCTACATTAACAGCAATGGGAGAAAAGCAAACACTTCTGAAGAGGATTTCTAGAGTATGAATGTCTCAAAGGCCAGCAGCATGAAATTCTGCTCATTCAGGGAGAACCCATTTCATCCTCCAGGGGCAGCTCTCAAACTTGCACCCAGCAGGTCACCTGCATTTATCATGACAAGGACAGAGGGGCCATCACTGTCCAAGGCTGTATTTATGAGGAATACTGAGCTGCTGTGCCAAACTGTGCCTTCTCCATTGTAATTGCAAAGAAAAGTCTAATAACCCACTTCTGAATAGCAAAAATACTGTTTTCTAAGGATACATAGGCAGCAAATTTCAGAACAATCTTCCCTTTACTTAAGTCCCTTTTACAATTCCTTTTTTCTAGCTTCTCTATAAAGGATAGAGGGGTTTTTTTAACAGGTTCAAGTCAAAGCAGAATAAAACAACCCTGTCAGCCCACTGGAGTTAAAAATCTCTGCCAATAAACCCAGCAAATTTAGTTCAGTGTCTTGCCCTCCTAAAATTCTTCACACACTT